ATGTTCCACTGCTTTTCATAAGGTTTTCACTGGCTAATTTGTTTCAGAGGGTAGACCAGTGGGTCCTTCTTCCTAGTCTGTCTTAGTCTGGAAGCTCACCTGAAACCTGTCCGCCATGGGTAACCCTGCTGGTATTTGAATACTAGTGTCATGGCTTCCAGCATCACAGCAACACGCAAGCCCCCACAGTACAACCAACTGACAGATGTGTGGGGGATGTATATATATATGTATTAAAATATATCTGTAAGTTTATACATAAAATTTCCAAACCCTAAAGACAAATAAAGATTAGATTTATAAAGATACTGATAATGAAAGTCAATAATAATGACAACTTAAAAAAAGAGAGATATTTGATTTTTGTCAGAACTGACTTAAAATGGAGTTAGCAGCATATAACCCAGACATAAATTGGGGACTAGCTGTACTTGAAAAATTCCACTCCTACCTCACAACTAAAACTCCTTACTCTCACCCTGCCGTGCTTTCTTACTGCTATTCTTTTTTTTCTTCCCGCCAGTATTCTCTCCATTTCAAACACCCATCTCCTTCCTTCTCAGGCTTGAGCTATTCTTCCCCCATCTGTGGATTAAGGCCATGAGCTGAGGATATGGGGAAATGCCGTGTGAACCAAATTAGAGTTTTATCAGCGGAAATGGGAGTGGACAGACATAGGAAGGAATAGAAAAGAGGCTTTAAAGAAATTCTTATTATTGTTAGCTCCTGTTACACATGTAGAGAACATATAACATTGCCTAACATATTATAAGCACTCAAGAAATCTTAGCTATTAATATCATTAGTAACAACCACACTCTCACACTCTGATAGTAACAGTAACAGCTAACATTTCCCGAGAGTCTGCTATGTGTCAAGCACTGTTATCACTCTGAATATGTACTAACTAGCTCATGAAAGCTTCACAACAACGCCATGATGTAGATGATTTTATAACCCCCATTCACAGACGAGGAAACAGGTAAAGGGAGATTTAGTAAGTTGATTGGAGTTACAAAGATAGGAAATGAGAGAGACAGATGTGAATTCGGTCTCACTCCACCTCCCATCTTTACCGTCTTCTTGTGTTGCCTCTAATTCAGGGTTCTTGTTTTAATTGCGAGTCTCTGGGTGGTGCAAACGGTTAATGTGCTTGGCTGTTAACAGAAAGGTTAGAGGTTCGAGTCCACCCAGAAGCACCGCAGAAGAAAGGTCTGGTGATCTGCTTTCCCAAAATCAGTCACTGAAAACCTTACAGAGCAGAATTCTGCTGTGACAGACATGGGGTCACCATCCTTCAGAATAGATGTGATGGCAACTGGTTTTTTTGGTTTTAATGTGATCGTCATGGAACTAACCAATCGGATCCTTCTGTACTAGAGGTTTTCTCTTGCCAGTTTCTATAGCCCTTAATGGTCTCAAATGAGCTCACATATCATATGAGTACACATTACCCATAACGGATACATTCATGCCCATGGGAAGACAGTTGCTCTTACTGCTTTTTCCTTAGCTCTTTGGACCACAGAAAGGCCTCTGCCAGGGAATTCTTCATGAATGCATTTGATAGCTCTCCCCATGGCCTCCCCAGCTGCCTGTCTACTAAGGAAAAGTGTGCCGGTGCTAACTAGATAAATTAAATGCCTTTAACAAACTGGCTCAACGTACTGGGGAAGGTACTAGAATATTTTTTTCCAAGGTTGCCAGTGCAACAAGAACAATATTCTCAACACATCAGTGCATGCTTCATTCCTCGTTACCAGGTTGCTCCGGCTTTGAACTCACTGATTCAGTGGCTTTTGGTGCTTCAGGGGGACGGGGGGAGACCACCCAGAACAAAGAATCTTGGCTTAGCTTTGGGTTTCATGTTAGAACTGTTATAAGCAAAGTGATCCATGCTTTGCTGAGAAAGAAAAGTGTTTGCCCAGTGCCAAAAAGCTTTCGTCTGCAGATCAAGACATTACGCCGAGTGAAATCAGTCAGTCGCAAAAGGACAGATATCGTATGATTGCGCTCACATGACATATCTAGAATAAGCAAGTGCAAGGAGCCCTGGTGGTGCAGTGGTTAAGTGCTCAGCTGCTAAACGAAAGATTGGTGGTTTGAACCCACCAGCTGCTCCATGGGGGAAAGACGTGGCGATCTGCTTCCATAAAGATTACAGCCTTAGAAACCCTATGGGGCAGTTCTACTCTGTCCTGTAGGGTCGCTATGAATCAGAGTCGACCCTTCAGCAATGGGTAACTGAATAGAGACCAAAATTTATTAGTTACCTGAGGCGGGGGGTGGGGAGAAAGGGAAGTGGGAAGGGGGACTCACTGCTTAGGGGACACTGAGCTTCTGTTAATGGTGATGGAAAAACTTGGAAATGATGATGGTTTCACAACATGATGAACATAATTAATGTCACTGAATTGTACATGTGAAGAATTTTGGAATGGCAAATGTTTGGTTACATATATCGTTACCACAATTGAAAAAAAACAAAAACAAAACAAACCTTGGAGGTCTGAGTCTGGAGTGTTGTTATAAGCCGTGTTGTGGAGAAGAGAAAACAAGACTTAATAAAAGATCCTTTACCTCTGGAAATACAAAACTGTTTCAATTCAGGGAAGAAGAGCTGAGGAGAGAGAGGACGGCAGTAGGTGTGTTCTGGTTGCTTTCTCAGGCTTCAAATTCTTGGTGAAGGCGGATGTGTGAGGTGAGGAGGAGACGGGAGGTGAACATACTCCAGACAAGCTGAGGGAGAAGCTGACACAGAGGGCCTGGGCTCCCGTTCCTCATTTAGATCCCCTCACATGGTACCTCAGCCCCACAGAGAAAAAAAAAAAGAACGATGTGATGGTTTAGTGCTTCTGGCTCCATGCTGCTGCCTGGGGTGTGAGTAGGAAATTCAAAAGTTTCCATGTTTCCGTGGGAGATGTGGACAATAGCTGAGAAGTTGGCTTGAGGAGTGTCATGGATTGAGTTGCATCCCCAAAACTATCCGTCAGCTTGGCTAGGTCATGATTCCCAGTATTGTATGATTGTCTACCATTTTGTCGTCTGATGTGTAAATCCTGTCACTATGATATAATGAGATGGATTAGCGGCAGTTATATTGACGAGATCTGTAAGATTAGATAGTGTCTTAATCCAGTCCCTTTTGAGATATAAAAGAGAGAAGTGAGCAGAAACACATGGGAACCTCATACCACCAAGACAGCAGTGCCAGGAGCAGAGTGCGTCCTTTGGACTTGAGGTTCCTGCGCAGAGAAGCTCCCAGACCGAGGGAAGACTGATGCATCACAAGGACCTTCCTCCAGAGCCGACAGAGAGAGAAAGCCTTCCCTTGGAGCTGGCACCCTGGATTTGGACGCGTAGCCTACTGGACTGTGAGAGAATAAACTTCTGTTTGTGAAAGCCGTCCACGTGTGGTATTTCTGTTACCACAGCACTAGGTGAACAAGACAGGGAGCTTGCTGGGGGAGGTCACCATGGTGAAGGACAAAGTTTTCCTGAAGAAGAAGGCTGGCAAGGGGTTTGCTGGAGTTGGGGATCAAAAGGGAGCTGCAGCCAGCTTGTAGGGCATCTGCCGGCCCCTAAGAGCTTGGTCAGCGGGGGAGAAGGCCAAGGCCCCTGGGAGCAAGGAGAACAGATACTGAGTTATACTGGCCTTGGGCGCATCACAACAATAGCAGGGCTGACGGAGGCCTGTGCCCAGACGCAGCGGAGACCCTGCAGCCCAGATGCCCTCCCTCCACTGCTGTGAGAATTCCCATACCTCCCCCTACACCTGAAAGGAGGCGGCGGGGTGAGCCCTGGAGAGAGGGGAGACACCCTGCAAACCTGAGCATTCGCTGGAAGAGATCGGGTTTACCCCAAAGAAACTGTTTTAAGCTGCAAGAAACTGAGTTGCTTTCTCAAGCTGCCACCATCATAGCTGGAGTAGGGATTTCTGAGCCAGTTGCAGAAAAATGGCAAGTGTGTGTGTGTGTGTGTGTGTGTGTGTGTGTGTGTGTGTGTATGGGCGCGCAAGCACGCGCGCATGCGCGTGTGTATATATGGAAATGTTGATCTCAGCTACCCTAGGGGAAAAACAAATATATGTCATCTGGATTATTAAGCATTAGGATGAAGCCAACTCTTGCAGAGGTCCAGAAGAAAAGGATTGGCGATTTATAGGCTTGAAACAAAGGAAACAGCAGAGTATGGCGGCGAGGTGGGGAGTGCTGGATGGTGGCCGATGTAAGACTGTTCCACCGCTCAAAGTACGTGCACGTGATTAACTTATTTAGTGAACTTGCTATTTCTTCTCCATGATTTTCCCAAACCAATACCGTGCCAGGAAGGTAACTACAGTATAAGTCACCACTTTTCATTCTACCTTTGGAGAGCAATAATTCATGGCAGACAAAAACGGTAACGTGGATCAGGAGGTGCAAATGGTTAAGTGCTTGGCTATTAACCGAAAAGGTGGCGGATCAAATTTACCCAGAGGTGCCTCAGAAGAATAGCCTGGTAATCTACTTCCCAAAGGTCACAGCCTTGAAAACTCCGTGGAGCACAGTTCTACCCTGACACATATGGGGTTGCCATGAGTCCGAGTCAACTTGACTGCAACTGGTTTGGTTTTTGTTTTATCTGTGTCTCTACCAAAGAAAGAAACCCTGGTGGCGTAGGGGTCAAGTGCTATGACTGCTAACCAAAAGGTCGGCAGTTCAAATCCACTAGGCGCTCCTTGAAAACCCTATGGGGCAGTTCTACTTTGTCATGTAGGGTCTGAATTGACTTGATGGCAACAGTTTGGTTTTTTTTTTCTTATCAGAGAAGGAGGCGTTGATGGTGGGAGAGTGGATGGGACTGCGGTGGAGGAAGGCTAATCACAGCCCCCACCCCCGTCAGGGGGTAAAGGAAGGTTGAAAGCCTTGTTGTGGCTAGGATCATTTTCTCTAGCGCCTGCTAAGCTGCTTTACTCCAAAATCTCTTTATAAACGATCTTGTTTTTCTCTCTTCCTTAGACGCCAGTTCCTCTGGTCTCAGCACCGTGACAGATACCATGAGACTAACAACGCAATGTGATTTCCGATATGCATAAATCCCAGAGTCTAAGGGTGTAGTTAAATCTCGTCCTTACAGCTTAGAAGTCAAACAGGGTTGGTAATCATTTTTAGAGGAGGATTGTGGTTTTTGTGTAAAAACTGCATCATTTTGCACAACCCGAGACCAGTGTGAGCGCAGTAGTGAAATTGCCCACTGCGTCCAAGTATCAGCCAGCAAGGCTCCACCCAGGCTCCTGTCGCTGGGCCTGCGGAGATGGTGTATTACGGGGCTGAGAGGATGTTCCCGTCACTATAGCCTTTTCCTCCACAATTTCCCTTCGAGTTGAGAACCGTATGGATAAAGCCAGTATTGTGGTTCTACTGAGAATGTGGCATTGGATCAGTTATCTGCCAAGAGGTCATTCTTACTTGGTACTAGCCTTTGTTCCAGAAGAAATGACTTCTCAAGGCGCCATTAACTGAAACATCTGTTTTGTGATAATTCCTCCCTTCTTCTTTTTCTTCCCCATCCCTGTCATATTAGCAGTTAAACGTTGCTGAAATGGTGATGATACCACTAATTAATTTCCTCTCACGTCAATGGAGACTATTGGATAGTGGAACATGTTAAAAAATAAAAAGACCCCAAACGCGGGCCTTCCATCTGTCCTTGATGCACTGGGACTTCCTTCAGTTACATGTTCTTATCACTGTTCTCTGGAAGATGATGGAATGACAGGTCTGTAAAATGAAATCTTTTCTCTTTCAACAGATACCAAACCACCTTCCCCCACCGGCAAAAAAAACAAAACAAAACAAACCCGTTGCCAGTGAGTCAATTCTGACTCCTAGTGACCCTGCAGGACAGAGTAGAACTGCCTCATAGCGTTTCCAAGGAGCGCCCGGTGGATTCGAACTGCCAACCTTTTGATTAGCCGCTGAACGCTTAACCACTGCACCGCCAGGGTAAGTGAACATTTTTGGTTTCTCCTCACTGTGCTCCCTTACAGATGCATGAAGAGCTAGTAACACTTATTCCCATTTTAGGATAAAGCTGAGTCTGTGCAAAGTTATTTGGTGCCACTCAGTTTCTTGGTAGGTCCCTGGGTGGTGCAAATGGTTTGTGCTCCGCTACTACCTGAAATGTTGGTGGTTCAAATTCACCCATCAGCACTGCGGAAGAAAGGCCTGGCAATCTACTTCTGTCAAATTACAGTCATTGAAAACCCTGTGGAGTGCAGTTCTACTCTGACACACACAGGGTCTCCATGAGTCAGAGTTGACTTGATGGCGAAAGGTTTTTTTTTTTTTTTTTTGAGAGGAAAGAATTGGAAATTTACTGTTACAAAGTTCTGATACAACATGTAAAGTGGCATAATATCACTTGAAGTTAGACTGTGATAAGTGAAGGATGTATAGTATATATTCTAAAGCAACTACTAAAAAACCAATTATAGCTAATAAACCAACAAAAGAGATAACATAGAATTATTTTTAAAAATGCTCAATTAATCAAAAGAAGGCAGTAAAAGAGAGATAAAGGAAACAAAAGAGTTGATTAGACAAATAGGAAACTAATAGCAAGTTGGTTGATCCAAGTTCAATCATATCAATAGCTACATTAAATTTAAACTATGCAGAGCAATTAAAATGCAGAGATTGTCAGATTGGATAAAAAAAAACTATAAGTAACTTATAAGAAACCACTGCAAATGTGAATATATAAGTAGATTAAAACTAAACGAATAGAAGAAAGATGCATCGTGATGATACCAAAAGAAAGCTGGAGTAGCTATACTAATATCCAAACCAAAAAAACAAACCCATTGCCACTGAGTAGATTCTGATAGCGATGGTCTAGGACAGAGTAGAACTTCCTCATAGGGTTTCTAAGGCTGTAAGTCTTTACTGAAGTCGACTGTCATATCTCTCTCCCTCAGAGTGACTAGTGGGTTCTAACCACCGACTTTTTTGGTTAGCAGCCAAGCGTCTTAACCCCTGCACCATCAGGGCTCCTATGTTAATATCAGAAAATGTAAATTTCAGAGCAAAGAATATTACCAGGAATTAAGAATATCATTTCATAATTATCAGGGGGTGAATTCATTAAGAGGACAACAATCCTATACATTTATGTACCTAACAACAGAGCTGTGAAATGCTTGAGGCAAAAACTGATAGAACAGCAAAGAGAAATAGAAAAAAAACTATTGTCAGGGATTTCAATACTCATTTCTCAATTACTGATAACACAAGTAGGCTGAAAATTAGCAAAGATATAGATGGTATTCACTCTCATTATGTCTATTCAACATTGTCCTGGAGGTTCTAGTCAGTGCAGCAGGCAAGAAAAAGAAACTAAAGGCATCTATATTAGACAGGAAGAAGTAAAACTGTCCATTTACAGGTGGTATGAGCA